TTATTTAAATCTTATCATAATTCAATATTATATTTAAAAATGAATAAACAAACAAACCTTAGTTGCTTATTTGAAAAATATGAACAAGAAGGTTTAAAAAAATGCGAAACTAAAGAATCTCAAACATGGCGACATGCCAGCGGTTCAAAAGCAGCTAATCGTCTTGCCCTCTTTTATGATTTCTTTCCTGAATTATCTTCTCTTAAAAATTCTCTAACATCATATTCTATTTGTGAGAGTCACTACAATCAAATAATTACTACTGATCAACTTTATAATTCTTTTCTAGAACAAGATAAAGAATATGACAATAGTATGAATGTTGATGAAATTCAAATAAATTCAGGTTTTAATATTTAATTATTTTTTAAAGATATTTTATATTATTTATATATCACTAAATTTTTTGAGTTAATAAAAATATAGATATTAACATGCAAAGTTATGAGATTCTTAAAATTTGTTGAATAAATATAAAAAAGAATATGAACAGAATATGTTATACACTTCAAACCTTACTATCCAGATCAAAAAACTTCAACAGGAATTAAATGAATTGTCCTATAAATATCAAATGTTAGAAGAGAGTAATAAAATTCTTATTGATAAATTGAACAAAAAATTTGATACCCATGAAAAAAGGGTTGAAGCTATTATTGAGATTGCTTTAGCAGAGCGTGAAAATTTTTTTAATGATGTGGATTCATTATTTAAAAATACTGATAGATTTTCATTAGAAAATTTATTAAATTACAATCCTGAGTATTGGTTAAGCAAACAAAATGAAATCATTGTCAAATTTATTGAAACTTTAACACAAAATGAATATTATGATGATGACTCAAATCAAACAAAAGCTTTTAAAAGAGCAATTGCAGTTGATGCAATATATGGCTCACGATATAATAAATATGTATCTGAAATTAGCTTGCTTGCATCTTCCATAAAATATTCTTTAGCACATTCAAAAAAAATCATTAACATAGATAATTATATCACTAGTGGAGGGAGTTATTCTCGATTCCTAAAGTGGTTGGATGAGTTATCAAAAGATCAAGAGCCTCTACCTGAAGGACTTCTATTTCTTGCTTTTGACAATGAGCAAAAAGGACAAAAAAATTATCTTGACCGTGGATTTAATACTGTAATCTACCATATAGTTACTAGTTTTGTAGCATTTAATATGGATTCAAAAAATATGTCACAACATGAATATGATCCTTGGTTGCATAAATCTCTCTCACAATTACAGTACAAAGAACTTTTTGATCTTACACCTCAAATGCAACAGGAATTTGACAATCAACTTCATCTTTATCTTAATGAGATTATTAATAAGTTAAATGAAGAAAAATCACAACTGACCAACAATATTGATAACCTTATAGAAAATACCTCAAATATCAGTAGTAGTAAATATTGTCTAAACTGTAATGAGAAAAATATTGAAAACAGAAAAAAAAATTGTCCAAAATGTTATTCACCTTTGCCAACTTTAACTGAATTACAAAAAAATTTCAAATCTATAGTTGAAGAAAAAAATTTATCAGACAAATCAATGAAAGAAATTATCTTTAAACCATATAATCCTGAAAATGAATCTAAAATTGCTTCCTTACCACGAATAAGTTATACACAAAATTTGATTCCTGATCAAGATGTTCAGACCCCTGATATTTATGTTCCTGATCCATTAAATATTAATCCTAATTCTATAGTAAATGTTGAGAAGATTCTTAAACATATAGAAAAAATATCAGGAATTAAGGATGGAGTGCGTAAATGGATATCTGTAACATGTGATGGAATTCCTTATCATCATGCATGTAAAATTAAGGAGAAATTTCCTTGGTTGGTTCTTATACGTGTCCAACTACATGAAGAAATGAATATGCTTCGTGCATATGTTGAATTAAATTGGTATTTATATTTATCATTACAAAAATTTTTTAATAAGTTCACATATAACTAATTTTAAATATACTTACTATTTAATTAGGGAAATTGATATTAAACAATTTGCAATAGGCCAAGGATATAGATCTGATAAGCAACTATCTTTTTTTAAAAAATGTGGCGACCATCATAAAGCATGGGATTCCATATGTAATATATATCGTGAAGCAATGGCTCTAGAACTTGTATGGCCATA